TTAAAAAGAAACTGTAAAAAGTTTATTGAGGTACAGAAGCTTGATGGTTTCAAAGTTTCCTTTCTCTTAGAGCAGTAATATACGGGCGCCTTCACAGTTGGCCACAGCAACATGTGGCGGGTACTGCTAGTTGTGTATAAAACGGCACTGAATGTTTGCCGCATATGTATGTTCTGTGATCCATCTTCAGTCCCCTTCAGGGTGAGAAGGGGAGAATATAAATACTGTCAATTAATCAATCAGTTAATAAACAATAGGATTTCAATTATGCTGACTCAGTGAGCCTGAGCCTGGACGGTTTGTTATGATGTATGAATCTGATCGTTTTCGTTGGTTTCTGTGTATGTCCTTCAGAACCTTAACATCTGCATTTCTTGATATTTCCATTTTAAACATGACCATGAAGGGAAAAGGGAGGAGATCAGGGCGGTAGAGAAGGTTTTCAGATTTCATGCATGATCTGTTGCTTTTCTTTTTCTTAACAAGGGAAATGGGGATCCTGTGGAGCTACCTCTGGCGTGATGAGAAACAAACCCGTGTCTAGTGGATGCTGAGGAATTTGGAAGCCAAACTGCAGAAAAGAAACCAATAATATAGGAAGGAGAATTCTTGTCTACGTGTCAATCCTACAGAACCCTTCAATTTGGATCAGAAAGGAAAAAAAAGTCAACTATCCATATTGCAGTTAAATATTCATATAATTGTCAAAATGGAGGAGAAAGCATATAAATGCCCTGAATGTAGAAAGAGCTTCGCTCAGAGTAGACATCTCCTTTTACATCAAAGAATTCATACTGGGGAAAAACCCTATAAATGCCTGGAGTGTGGAAAGAGCTTCATTGGGCGTGAATATCTACGCTCACATCGAAGTACACACACAGGGGAGAAACCCTATAAATGCCTGGAGTGCGGAAAGAGCTTCACTCATAGTTCAAGTCTATGTTCACATCTAAGGACTCACACTGGGGAGAAACCTTATACATGCCTGGAGTGTGGAAAGAGCTTCCCTAGTAGTGGAAATCTACGTTCACACAAAAAGACTCACACTGGGGAGAAACCCTATACATGCCTGGAGTGTGGGAAGGTCTTTGGTCATAGTTCAAGTCTGTATTCACATCAAAGAATTCACACTGGGGAGAAACCTTATACATGCCTGGAGTGTGGAAAGAGCTTCCCTAGGGGTGGAAATCTACGTTTACATCAAAGGACCCATACTGGGGAGAAACCTTTTACATGCTTGGAGTGTGGAAAGAGCTTCCCGAGTAGTGGAAATCTACGTTTACATCAAAAGACCCATACTGGAGAGAAACCCTATAAATGCTTGGAGTGTGGTAAGAGCTTCTCCCAGAGTGGATACTTACATATACATCATAGAACCCACACTGGAGAGAAGCCCTATTCCTGCCAGGAATGTGGAAAAAGCTTCACTCAGAAATCAGGTCTTTCTACACATCAAATAACTCATACTGGGGAACAGCCCTATAAATGCATGGAGTGTGGGAAGAGCTTCACTCAGAGTGGACATTTACATGAACATCGACGTAGTCACACTGGGGAAAAACCTTATATATGCATGAAGTGTGGAAAGAGCTTTGATCGCAGTTCACATCTACGTTTGCATGAAAGAACACACACTGGGGAGAAACCCTATACATGCCTGGAGTGTGGAAAGAGCTTCACTCAGAGAGGAGCTCTAAATGCACATCAAAGAACTCACACTGGGGAGAAACCCTATACATGCATGGAGTGTGGAAAGAGTTTCACGTTGAGTGGCAGTCTACGTTCACATCAAAAAACTCACACTGGGGAGAAAGCCTATACGTGCCTGGAGTGTGGGAAGAGTTTCCCTTTCAGTGGCAGTCTACGTTCACACAAAAAGACTCACACTGGGGAGAAACCCTATACGTGCATGGAGTGTGGAAAGAGCTTCACTACAAGTAGCCAGCTAAATAGACATCAAAGAACTCACACTGGAGAGAAACCCCATACATGCCTGGAGTGTGGAAAGAGCTTTGCTCATAGTGTAAGTCTACATATACATCAAAGAACTCATACAGGAGAGAAACCCTATAAATGCATGGAGTGTGGAAAGAGCTTCGCTCAAAGTGCATCCCTACGTTCACATTCTAGAACTCATACTGGAGAGAAACCCTACACATGCCTGGTGTGTGGAAAGAGCTTCACTCAGGGGGGACAGCTATATAGACATCAAAGAGCACACACTGGAGAGAAACCCTAGAAATGCCTGGAGTGTGGAAAGAGCTTTGTTTTCCGTGGAGGCCTACGTTCACATCTTAGAACTCACACCGTGGAGAAACCCTATAAATGCACAGAGTTTGGAAGAAAGCTTCTCTCAGAGTGAAAACGGCATTCCCATCAAAGAACCCGTACAGGAGACACTGGGATTTGACACCTGAGGGACTCTGTGAGAAGTGAACACAAAGCTTTGATAAATGGAAATGTGGGCATAATGTGGGGGTCTTGAAGAAAAACCTAGAAATGTTGGACTCAAAATACATTAGAGACTGAAAGAAATTGCTAAGATTACGTTCACGACACCAGGGCTTTATTTGTTAAGAATGCTGAACAATCTACTTTAAAATAGATAAACTGGGTTGCTGTAGGTTTTCTGGGCTTTATGGCCATATTCTAGAAGCATTCTCTCCTGACATTTCACCTGCAACATTTCGGTTGTGAGGACACCTCTGAGGATGCCTGC